TATGTACATGCATACATACATGCATGCATACATAAACACATACATGCGCAAATGCACATCGTTCGAGAAGGAGCTTCAGTCGGCGAAGATGGGAGGGATCCGCGCCGGAGCCAAGATCGGATTTGCAGGAGGCGGCCTCAACCTATTCTACTCCTGCTTCTCGCTTGGTAGTCGTTTTTGCAAGGGTTTGGTTTAGGGTTCGGGCGAGCTCCAATCAAGCCTGTGTAACAAGGGTTTACCAAGCCCTGATGCAAAAAAGGGTTTAGTGTTCGCTTTCTTCAGGAACCTTAAGCCCGAATCCAGGGCATAGGATTAAAAAGGCCAGCCACAAGACCTCCATATAGATCGCAGTCGTCGCGTTTTCTTGTCCCTCCAAAGAGCACTAAGGCTTTTTGGGGCTACCTCTCTTGTTCGGTGCCCACTACCTCTTGTCTCACAACGACGTCAACAAAACCGGCATGGTCACCGTGATCTTCGCCATGTGCGTTGCAGTGTCCGGGCTGATCTCCTTCAGTGGCTTCCTCCCAATCCTGGCCAAGGCAGTCGCATCTGCAAAGGCCATGAAGCAGATGATGGCGGCGGAGCGCGTCATCGAGCCCCCCTTGCACATTATGGGAGAACTGCCCGATCAGCTTCAGACCATCGACACCATTGAGTTTAAGAGCGTGAGCTTCCGGTACCCGACGAGGCCGGAGAAGTGGGTTCTCCAGAACTTCAGCTTCCGAGTGGAGAAGGGTCAGAAAATCGCCCTTGTGGGGGAAAGCGGCTGCGGTAAGAGCACCACGATCCAACTTCTGGAGCGCTTCTACGACCCCTGCGGGGGCGAGGCAAGGGGTTGTGCTCCACTTAAAAAATGGGATCATGGATTGTGTTGGGTGTTTGCTAGAACGCCCCACCCGCGAAGGTGTTGGTGAACGGGATCCACCTTTGCAAAGTCCCGGTGAAGGCGTGGCGGCAGCTCATCGGCTACGTCGGCCAAGAGCCCGTGCTCTTTGCCACGAGCGCGATGAAGAACATCAAGGCAGGCGACGACTCCATCAGCGACGAGCAGGTCATGGAGGCCGCCAAAGGAGCACAAATTTACGAAACGTTGATGGGGCTGCCAGACAAGTTCGAGACCTTTGTTGGAGCTGGCGGTGGCTTGTTGTCCGGCGGCCAGCGACAGCGGCTTGCCATTGCACGTGCTTTGGCCAAGAACCCCCAGATCTTGCTCCTGGATGAAGCGACCTCAGCCCTGGACAATGAGTCGGAGCGCATGGTCCAGGAGACCTTGGATTCTCTCCTGAACCAGAATGGGCAGAGCATCACAACCGTCTCCATTGCCCACCGGCTCACAACAATCCGGAGCTCAGACATCATCTACGTCTTGAAGGATGGGAGCTGTTGCGAGCAGGGCTCCCATGAAGAGCTCATGGAGGTACGCGGGGAGTACTACAACATGGCCAAGCTCCAGGCAGATGAAAATGAAGAGAATTCCAACGAGGCGATGATCCAAAACGCTCAGAGCGAAGCATTTGAAAGGAAGGCTGTCATGCTGAATTCTTGTACGCAGAGCAGGACGCCCCGAAGTCTCCTGGAGACGGCGAATGAAGAGGGAGGTGCTCCCGGGAGAATCTGGCGGCGTCTCTTCCGCTTCACGACTGGGCACTGGTGGGTTTGGCCCGCTGCTTTTGTTGTCGTCAGTGCCGGAGCGCTGGCTATGCCGCTCGAAGCGGTCTATTTCAACATCGCCCTCAATGCTTTGCAAATTGAAGATCATGACGTGATGTTATCCAAGCTGGATGCGGCCATCGAGGGTCTGATGCTGGTTGGCTTGGGCTTTGGAGTGGTGGGATTTTGTCAGAACTGGCTCTTCATCTACATGCAGGAGTGTCTGTGTCTGATCCTACGTACAAAAGCCTTTCAAAGCCTTATCCGCATGGAGATGGCCTTTTTCGACGCCCCAGAGAATCAGACTTCCAGCATTCTTGTGTCCCTGGAAAGGCACATGTGCCGTGTGGGGCAGATGCTCGGCACACAGCTGGGACTCTCCACGATCGGAGTTCTCACATGCCTCGTCAGCGTGATCATCAGCTTCGCTGGCTCTTGGGTGGTGGCTCTGATCCTCCTGGGCCTCCTGCCCATATGTGGTCTCATCATGATGCTTGTGGCCCGCTTTGCCTCGGGTGTGGATCCGCAGGTGGAGGAGACTCACGCTACGGCGGGGAAGTTCACCGCGGAGGCAGCGACCGCGATTCGCACCGTGAGGGCGCTCGGGGCCGAGGAGCACACGCTCGCAATCCTCAGGGACTCCATGGATTATGTCTGTCGGTCGAAAGCCGCGAAGTCTTGGAAGATGGGAGTCTCTGTCGGCCTTAACCTGATGCTGCCGCAGGTGGGGCTGTTCTATATACATGACTTTGAGGGTCCTGTGCGGGTGCGTGCTAGTGTTCATGAGTTGCAGCCATGAAAACATAGGAAATATTCCAGAAAGACTGCAAAAACTTGAGAGATACCTTCTTGTAGGAGTCCTAGACTATTTTGTATGGGCTTAGAACAAGACGCAGGTGATCAACCTGGTCAGCTTCTGGATTGGAGGAATCAGCGTGCAGTTCTGGAGCTTCGACTCGCAGCAGGTGTTGATGACCGTCTCTTTGCCACAGTTGGGTGCCATTTTACATGTTTATCGGTATTTGAGAGTGCAATAAGACATAGACTTCTCAATCTTTAACACTATCCCCGCCATGAACAAGGTCTTCTGTATGCTTTTCGGGACGATTTCCGTGAGCCTCGTGGCTCAGCACATCCCTGACTCTGCTTCAGGGTATCATGCAGCCATGCAGGTTTTCCGCCTCATCGACCAGGTCTCCGAGATAGATGCCACGAAGTCGGAAGGCTGCGAGACTCTGGGGGATGGCGCCATTGAGTTCCGCAATGTGCACTTCTGGTATCCCCACCGCCCCGAAGTGAGGGTGCTCAGGAAGCTCTCCCTGACCATCGAGAAGGGCCAATCGGTGGCCCTCTGTGGGGTTTCCGGCAGTGGGAAATCCACGATAGTTCAGCTCTTGCAGCGCTTCTACGACCCTCAAGCCGGTGTGATCCGAGTGGGTGGCCAGGACTTGCGCGACCTCGATATCGCATTCTGGCGACAGCAGCTGGGCTTCGTCGGCCAGGAGCCCATGCTTTTCGATATGTCCCTGGAAGAGAACGTGAAGTACGGCTACCCCGAGGCCACAGACGAAGAGGTGCGGGAAGCAGCGAGGGCGGCCAACATGGATTATGTTCTGTCGGGTGCCGTGCAGTGGACGGATCGAATCGGCCTGCGTGGAGAGAAGCTCTCAGGCGGTCAGAAGCAGCGCTGCGCCATCGCCAGGGCCCTGCTTCGCAAGCCTCAGTTCATGCTCTTCGACGAGGCAACCTCAGCCTTGGACTCTGTTTCGGAAAGCGTCGTGCTGCAGGCGATGAAGGCGGCCAGGGTCGGCAAGACAACCATTACCGTGGCTCACCGCTTGTCGACCATCCAGAACGTGGACAAGATCTTCGTACTCTGCCACGGAAGGCTTCTTGAGTCAGGTACTTACCAGGAGCTCATCAACATGGATGGCAGCTTTGCAAAGCTGGCAGCTCGCAGTTTGTGATCTTCAGCGACGGCCAGTTGCAGAATGCCTTGGGGCCCTAGGGAGTAGGAGCCCATGTCTAGTTCTCCGGGAAGCCTCGACCACTCTGCAGTGCATTCGGGGCAAGGTTTGTACAGAGCTGTTTCTGATTCTCCTGTGGTACAGGCAGCTGATTCCCCGGCTGCATCATTTTAATTCGCACGTTCTAGGCGCACTTTCCGACGGGGCACATGGCCTGCGAGTTGGCAGGATGACAGCATCCTACAGCGCAGTGTCATGGCTGCCGCTGTCAACTGCAGCACTGCCGTTACGACGGTATCGGTTTGCAGCAAACCTCGGCAAGCAATGGTTGTGCTGAGGAATTCAATTTCGACCCGACCGGCTTGTAAAGATTCTCAGCCAGGCTTGAGCAGTGCATGTGCAACGGCCCCCAACAGACAGCAAAGTGTTATGTGAGCACATCATATGACACCGTCATGTGCCGATGATGTTTTTGCCTCGCAAGTTGGTGGCCCTAGATCTTAACTACCTCCTGGAGCCCATGTAGGAGTAAAGATGGGAGTGTACTCTCCCACAATCCGATGACATGACAACTCGAGATGCAGAAAAACATGGCTATCTGTTGCCCTGCCGAAAGGAAGTGGTAAATACAGGGGCCGTAGTACTTACTTGGTTCCTGTTTATTAAAAACGGTTTATATAGGGGCTTGAATAATTACCTACATTATTTTGGGGTCTCCTTATTGTTACTATAATATGTTCTAAAACTCTATTCTAATCCTTAAGGCCCTGCATTACTTTGGGATTTTGATGATCGCATCCTCGTAGTAGATCGGCCCCAACTCTGTCCAGATCACCCCCGCCAAAAAAGTGCAGGAGCGGCTTCCAAAAGCCGGTTTAGGGCTTGGGGCTTAGGGTTTAGGGTTTAGGGCTGGGGGTTTAGGGTTTAGGGTTTAGGGAATGCCTGTTGCAAAGGGTTTAGCGAATGGACTTTTGGAGATTGTGCCGGCGTTTACGGTGTTGTATTGTTTGGGTCTACGTGGTTGGAACAGGGTCGCGTGGGGAAGTTAAACGGGATGGTCGTCCCGTGTTCCCATGTATGATCATGTATGTGAGGCACCTTCACTTGGAAGAGGGTTTTGTGAATTCCGCCGGAGGGCACATTTCACCAGACGTTGCGGCACAGGAAATTCCGGAAATGTTTAAGGAAGAGCTTACCACAGACCCTAAGTGATGGAATGCCAGTTGCGAGAGTCGAAACAATCGAATAATTGAAGGCATAAGGCCGCATGAGTAAGGCACCCCTGAGTTTCGGAAGTTCGATTTTGAGGCGATCATTTCTGGAGAACCCGAGACTGCGATCGGCCTGTTGTTGGAGCTGCCCGAGGGCGGCGACATCGCGGTCCGGCAGCATTTTCCTTCTAGGAAAGCCAGGGCAGATGCGGGAATGTTGGTGCCATTTATCAACTCATCAATCAGGGCACTGCAGGTCGTATTCATCATAATGGTCATACTTGACATACCGACGTTCACGCAATACGGAATGACATTACCGTTGCTGCCACTTGTGGCACCAAGCAGGATTCAAACATAGCAGTAGCAGCAGTCGTGCAGGTGGTGGTGGTAGTAGTAGTAGTGGTAGTAGTAGTAGTAGTAGGTAGTAGGTAGTAGGTAGTAGGTAGTAGTAGTAGGTAGTAGTAGTAGGTAGTAGTAGTAGGTAGTAGTAGTAGGTAG